CCTCCAGGGAAGCTGGTTGCATTTTCCTTCCTGTAAAACTCCAGGAATCCAGCTTTTGCCAAGAGGCTGGTAAGAATTTCCCTTCATTGAGGACTCCAAACAGCCTTGGAATGGATGGATTTACAAACCCAAATCAGCAGGATTGGGAATGTGGCTGGTGAGCCCACGGAGCCTTAGCAGGTCAGGGGAGAATGCTCCTTCACCCGCAACCAGGCTAGTTAGTCCCATCACTTTATCATTAAGTTTCCTTATCTAGGGTCTATGGACTGGTCCATGGATGGGACCCATTGCTTAGTGCAAAGTATTTGTGAGTGGATACAGAAATGCATTGTTCTTGGAAGAGGGTCCATTGTTAAATCAATATATTTTCAAAGGAGTAGTGACCAAAAACAATTAGGAACCACTGCCTTAAGAGTTCAGCATGGTGGCAAAGAACATGGGCTGGGGAGTCAGACAGAAGCACAAATCCCAGCCCTGCCACTCCCTAACTGGGATGTTAATTGTGCCCCCCGCCCCAGCCTTGATTTTTGCATCTCTAAAATGAGGATAAGAACAATTTGCAGTGGTTGGCTGGTCATGAGGGCCCGTACCTGTAATCACAGCTACTTAGGAGGCTGAGGCAGGATAATCACTTGAGACCAGGAGTTCAAGACCAGCCTGGGCAACATAACAAGACCCCCATCTCTTTTTTTTTTCGAGACAGGCTCTCGCTCTGTTGCCCAGGCTAGAGTGCCATGGCATCAGCCTAGCTCACAGCAACCTCGAACTCCTGGGTTGAAGAGATCCTCCTGCCTCAGCCTCCCAAGTAGCTGGGACTACAGACGCATGCCACCATGCCTGGCTAATTTTTCTATTTTTGGTAGAGATGGAGTCTCGCTCTTGCTCAGGCTGGTCTTGAACTCCTAACCTCAAGTGATCCTTCTGCCTTGGCCTCCCAGAGTGCTAGGATTACAGGTGTAAGCCACCATGCCCGGCCAAGACCCCATCTCTTAAAAAAAATAATTTGTGGTGGTTGTGACAACAAAATGAGATAATACATGCAAATAATGAGATAATACGTGTAATATGTACAAGTACACTATCAATGAGATACATGTAATAATATACTAAGATATACAAATGAGAATATCTAATGATGAGATAACATAATACAGGCATTATTAAATAATAGCTATTATTTCCCTTCCTCACTACTGCACTTGACTAGGCTTAAAAAAATAAAAAAGTAAATATAGCTATTATTACTAATAATCAGAAGCCTCAAAACATTCATCCAAGGGCCAGGCGAGGTGGCTCACGCCTGTAATCCTAGCACTCTGGGAGGCCGAGGCGGGTGGATAGCTCAAAGGTCAGGAGTTCGAGACCAGCCTGAGCAAGAGCAAGACCCCGTCTCTACTAAAAAATAGAAAGAAATGATCTGGACAACTAAAAATATATAGAGAGAGAAAAAATTAGCCGGGCATGGTGGCGTATGCCTGTAGTCCCAGATACTTGGGAGGCTGAGGCAGAAGGATCGCTTGAGCCTAGGAGTCTGAGGTTGCTGTGAGGTAGGCTGACACCACGGCACTCTAGCCCGGGCAACAGAGTGAGACTTTGTCTCAAAAAAAAAAAAAATTCATCCAAGTCCTGATTTTTCCTTTTAGTCTAGGATTTATGACCCGGTGGTAACTCTTCATTTATCCCTGGCATTGAGCCAAGAAAAAAGGCTGGGCCCTGGAGGGGAAGGACTACCCAGAGGGCAATGGGCCACAGGACCTTGGGGAAGGGAAGGGGAAGGATCTTCACAGTGTATCTTTTTAGATAGCGTTGAACTCAAGGACATTTGCCAGCCTCTTTCCGGAGGGAAGGGCATTTGCCTGGGTGACATGAGAAAGGTGCTACCCAACCCTTGCACCAAAAGATGGCCCAGTGCAGGGTAATCTGGTGCTGGGGAGGAGAGAGGCTTCGATCTAGGTTTCTATAGGAAGCCTGCTCAGGCGTGTCAACTATTCCCAGAGAACACAGGAGTGGCTTCAAAAAGCACACTTGCCCTCAGCCCAAGCTGCCAGTGGAAAGCAGCCAGGTGTTGCACCGGACCAAGCAGCGCCAGCTAACATTCTGCCAGCCTCTGTCTGGCTCTTCCTCCCCCCAGCTTAGAGGCTCCAGAGTTCCTGTGGTAGGTGGTGAGCTGCTCCTGGAAGCAGCTGCCATACCCTGCAGCCCTTCAGGCCTTGTCTTGCAGGTTCTTAGTGCAAGCTTGGCTCAGCCTTTTGGAAAGAAAATAGGCCTAACTGAGGAGGAGGTAAATTCTAAAGATCTATAGCCAGGGGAAGGACAACTAACTACCATGTCCTTATTTCCATTCTGTTCAGCATTTACATAGCACCTGGTGCATGTCAGGTCCTAGAGATGCAAAGATAGGTGTCCTACACTTCCTGCCCTAGAGGAGGTCATATCTAGTGGCCAGATGGATGAGTAAGAAAACCACTAAAATAAAATATGCTATAATAAAGGTATGAATAAGCAGCCATGAGAACCAGAGGAGGGAGTAATTAAAAATGACTAATAATAATAAAAATAATAATATGCCTGGAAGTGTTAAGATTTGGCAGAGAAAACAATATTCATCCAGCCGTGAAGAATCAGTAAGAAATAAAAAGAGTTAATAATTATTGAACATTTCCCCTGGCCAGACATTGTGCACATTCATTATCACATTATTCTTCCTAGTAGCTACTATTATTTTTCCAGGTTTACTGGCAAGAAACAGAGGTGCAGAGACGTTAAATAACAAGGATTTCCCCTGGTAAAGTAGAGAGAAAGGTAGGGAAAATAGCACAAGCAAAGGCCTGGAGGGAAGGTACGCGGGCAAGTGAGGTGCCAACTATTTATACAATGCTTGCCACTTTAGAAAACACTTCTGGAAATGTCACATTTAATTCTCAGGAAAACCTTGAGAGGTAGGAATTATTGCCATTCTACAGATGCAGAAATAAGCACAGATTTAAAACTTGAACCTCCTTCTGAATCTAAGGTGTTTTCTGTTCATCGCCCCACCACTACCAGACTTTGTACTTGAAAACAATGGTCCGGTAGTGGGGAGGAGATACACTGAGGAATCCTCTAACCCCATGGGCCATCTTTGGGCATTTGTAGCCATCGAGGAGCTAGGGAGTAGTGTTTTTCCTTATGTGAGGTTACCCAGCAAGTTGACCTTTGACCACCTTGCTAAATAAATAATATCCAAGCAAAATTCTGGAATCCTTTAAAAATGAATAAAACATATCGTTTGAATAGGCAATAGATAGATGCACAGCACAACATTCAAAAGGTACAAGAAAGTATATTCCCTTTAGCCCACCTTGTGGTCAACCATACCATCCAGAGGTAACCACTGTCAACAGTTTCTTGCATATCCTTTCATAGAGGTTCTGGCATCTTTATTATAGTGATAAAACACTACACCAACAAAACATGAAATCTGTATAAACTATTGTATGGATTCATTTCACTTCATGTTAAGTACCTAAGCTGTGCCAAGCCCTGTGCTGGACTCACAGATAACACATGGTCTAGAGCTCCAAGGGTATGAATTTGTGTGTGCGTGTGTGTGTGTGCCTGCATTACAGGGGGTGGGGGCAACAGATACCAAAGGACCATAATTAGTACAAGGTAAAGTACATTAAGTGTGGGAGAGTTCCAAGCAGTGACAGTATCACATAGTGGTTAGCACTTGTTTCCCGGAGTCAGACAGATTTGGCTTCCAGCCCCAATTCTGCCACTTGCGCTCAGAGTGACCCATGTAAGTGACTGCACCTCTGTAAGCTTCTCTTTTTCCATCTATCAGAACAGACTAATAATAATATTTCACAGGGTGGTTGAAAGGAATAAAGACAAAGTATACAAAGTACCTGACACATATTAAATACTCAATAAATGTCAGCTAAAAAACAAACTTTTAGCTCTCAATAAATGTTGGCCATTATCATTCAGGTCTGCAGTCCATTATTGGAAATTCACAAAGCTCTAAAAACCAGACTTCTTTTTTAAAAAACAAATTTGGTGGCAAAATGTAACCCAAAGTGAGGCTATTCATCTTAGTATGAATATTCATACATTCTGCTGCAGAAATATCAATATGTTTGGTGACTGGGTGCTACCCCATGCCCTGTTGGGGGTGCCACTCTAAATTCTGAAACACATCTGGCCCCAGTGGTTTCCAGATAATTCTTGCTAAGGAGAAAAGAAAAAGGTTTTTTGAGATGGCCTCTGTTCTTCTAAGTCCATAGAATTAATTTTCACTTTACATATCTCAGGAAAGTCCTAAGGCATCCTCTCAGGATTTATACTCCCAGTCCCTTGATTCCTGTATATCCCAAATTTGTGGGAAGAAAAAGTACTGAGCTTGGAGTCAGGAGGCCTGAATTTTCTTCACTTTGCCAAGCTCCTCTAGTTCTGTTTCGTTGTCCCTATGGCAATGCCCAGCAACAGTGTCTGGCATTTAGTAGGCCCTTCATAAATATATGTTGAATATACTCTAAAAGAGGTGGCTTTTCATTCACAAGTTCTCTCATCCTTCTTTCTTTTCCCCTTAGTTCTGTTGACAGGGGGCAACGGTAGCATGCCCTCGGTGGATGAGGGTGCAGGAAGGATTAATCACAGAGAATTTCGGACAGGCAGGGCTCTAAACGAGTCAACTCATCTACTCAAAGCTTCCTACAGGGAAGCTGGCTCTCCAATCCACCCCTTGGGCACATCTGAGGGTCGCTGCCGCTAATGGGCGAGGACGTGGCCTTCCTCTCCCTCCTTCCAACTTTCTTCTCCCCTCTCAACACTAGAAAATAAAATATTCCGTGGAATTGGGCTCTCAGCTCCTCCCGCACAGCGCAGGACCAATACGGGCCCAGAACCTTCGCGCCCGGTTAGTTCCTACCCCGCCCGCCCTGGAGGACCGTGGGTGGACGCTCTTGCAGAGCGCCTCTCGCTGGTCGGGGCGGGGGTGGGCGGAGCCAACGCCGCCTGGGCTGTGGAAGCGGAGGGTGGGGACACTCTGGCCCGGCTCTCGGTGGTGCGGGAGCAGCGGCCGCTCTGGTCGGCGGACGTGCTGCCGAGTAGTCCCGGAAGCGGAGCAGCGATGGCGGAGAGTCCGACTGAGGAGGCTGCGACGGCGACGGCCGGCGCCGGGGCGGCGGGCCCTGGGGCGAGCGGCGTTGCTGGTGTTGTTGGCGTTAGCGGTAGCGGCGGCGGGTTCGGGCCGCCTTTCCTGCCGGATGTGTGGGCGGCGGCGGCGGCAGCGGGCGGGGCCGGGGGGCCGGGGAGCGGCCTGGCTCCGCTGCCCGGGCTCCCGCCCTCGGCCGCTGCCCACGGGGCCGCGCTGCTTAGCCACTGGGACCCCACGCTCAGCTCCGACTGGGACGGCGAGCGCACCGCGCCGCAGTGTCTGCTCCGGATCAAGCGGTGAGCCGGGGTTTTTCCTCCTCCAGCCCCAAGCTCCGGGGCTCGACCTTCCCCGCCCCCTACCCTTTCCTGCTACAACTCACCCCCCACCCGCCGCGCTTCGCTCCCCGCGGGGCAACTCCAGGGCCCAAATCTTGCCAGCTCTGAGCGTCGGGATTCAAGTCCCTTCTCCCCCCGCCCCCAGCCCCACAGCACCAAACCCTTCCTCGCGTGCCCAGATCTGACCCCGCCCCTCGACAACCTCCCATGAGCCCTCCGTCTCCATTCCGGACACCCTCCCCCTCACCCCCCTACCTCCCGCCCGAAACCCGACCCTTTCGCGCTTCAGTAACACCCCCTCCCGGCCTCCGCGCCGCCCCTCTTCCCCCTTCCCCACCTCAGCCTTGCTAGATGCTGCCCGCAGGCCCCACCCGTCGGTCCCCCCTCGTCCCCTCTCCAGCCCCGTTTGTAACACATACACTCTCAGCTTTCTTTGCCCTGCCCCAGACTCCAGCCAGCGTTTTTATCCTGTTTTCTCAAACCCCCTCCACATAGTCTTTTCCCCAAGTCTAGACCGCTCCCCTCACCCGAATCTTCCCTTGAACCCCTTTTCCAGTACCCCAAAACTGTCCACTCTCACTTCTGTTCCAGAAACTCAGGCTCCCCACTCCTCCTCCCTCAGTGCTACTCTGGATTGTGATATCCCACTTAGGACCTTCTTTCTTGTATTTCCCCCTTCCCCTCTCCCCCAGGGTCATCTGGTTTACTTTTCTGAAGCAAATGCACTTAATTCAAATATAGGAACAAAGGCTTTAGTCCTTTCTGTGCTTATTTCTTGGGTGACTAATCTTAGATCATATCATCTAATAGATAATGTCTTGCAAAAGTGCTTAGCATAGTATCTCTCACATAGGAAAAGGAGAATACTATTTAGCTACTTTCAGTCCAACCTGTTTCCTACTGACCAGCCTTCTCCCCATGCCCCCATCACAAACATCCTCATCTAGTTATTATCCCCCACATTCCAAGTCCCTTCAGATGTATCTTTACCTACTTTTCAAGTTTGTAATAAAAATTAAGCAATACAATGTGTGTAAAGTACCTGGCACAGTGCCTGACACGGGACGCCAACTCTGTAGTGATTGCCACCTCAAACTTAAACTCAGCACTCAACTCCTTCAGCCTTTCCAGTCATCTAATCCTCATATACCTTCGAGTTATGGCCAGTACTTCTTTGCTTTGTCGCCTGTTTGCCCTTTTTATGTCCCTACCCACCCTAGCAAGTCCCTAGACTTTTTCCCCACCTAGAATGTTCATCTTTAGCTCCTTGCTCTCAACCGAGTCATTGCAGTTGGTGAGATATGACCCAGAAATCCTCTCATCTCCTGTGTAAGTCACCGCATGTCGTCATCCAGATGAGGGTTCTTAGCAATTTCTGAGGGTCCTGCTCTCCCCAACCTGAAGAGATCTCTACCGTTATCTCCTGTGCATGAAGACGGCCATGATGGTCATGCTCCCTGCTGCTGGCTCACTTGTTTCATAAATCCCTTACTAACAAGGGTCCACTGTATGGTTTCGTGAATTAGTTTTATAGCAGAGTTGATTATGCCTTTCTAGTAACTAAAAAATCTTCATTTAGCATTCAGCTGTAGTACCTGGGAATCTCGGAGGTGGGGAGTGAATGAATTGCTGTGTGGGAGGAAGTGAGAGTAAGTGGGATGTGGCTTTTCCAGGGTGACATCTGATGCCATTGGGATCTCTGATTTTTTTTCCTCTTCCTACCCTCCCCCTGAGGAAACAATGCCCCTTTGATAATAATTTGCTCTCTGCCTGCCTGACAAGTACTCAGCTGAGATTTCTCAGCCAACAAGATAGTGCAAACACTTGTGGTACCAAGCACCACTTTCTCGAACCCCAATCTCATTGAGGTGATGACAACTGTCCTGCTCAAGGGATTCCCCTTTTTCCCCCTCTCCCTCACTCTTTCCCCCACCTCCTTTTGGTGTTATACAGGGATATCATGTCCATTTATAAGGAGCCTCCTCCAGGAATGTTCGTTGTACCTGATACTGTTGACATGACTAAGGTATGTAACTTGATGGGGGGGATGGAGTTTTTTGGGAAATTGGGGCTATAAAGTTGGAAGGGCCTAAAAGAGATTATTCAGCTTGCCTTTCTGATTGCATAGATGAAGAAATCAAGATTCCAAGAGAGTAAGTGGTTTGCCCAGGGTCACATAGATACAGCAGAGCTTTGAACAGGTGTCTTTTTTTAGGGTGCACATGGGTACTGGTTATCTTGGAAAAATCCCAGTTCAGGCCTGTTGTCCCAGCTTAACTATAGGGTGGACACTCTTTCACTCTCAAATGTGCTGCAGTTTGGATGATAAATTGTATGATCACCGTATCCATTGTACTACCCAGCTCTTCCCCCATCCCAATACTCTTGACCTTAACTATGTACTGTAATGCAGATAAAGGGAAGGTTGGGGTAGGGCCACCTTGACTAAAGTGTTTGTGGTTAAAGAACCTTGTTCAAGCACCTATTCTTACTAGTTGCTTTTGAATACTCCTTCCACCCCAAAGAGTCTTCGTCTCTTGTCCTCCACACAGAAAGCTTAGCGCATAAGGTCAAATTTCTCTGGTATAAGTGCCTCGGCTTGTCTGTCACTGAGTGCTTTACCCTCTGAAGTCAACTTGCACTTAAACTGATGTTGGGAAGAAATCAAATTTCCTAAATCTGGTATGGTTTAAGTGAAAACTCATAGTTTCAAATTTCTTACAAGTAAAAATTGAGATTTTGTATTGTTGATACATCTTTTTTTGTTTTGAATAGGCTTCCCTTCAAATTGATTTTTTTTTTTCTTTTTATGTGGTTTGAAATGTTTTCCCTAGGACATCTTGTCCTCAGTCAAGTACCAATGTTAATGCGCTAGTCCCTGGGGTCCCAGAATTGATGCCGTGTTGAGACTGGTTGAGTTTGCTATTCCAAATAGTTGAGGGCTAAAATATTGATATAATCTAGGACCTTGCCAGGGCAAGGTAGGGACTGAAGACTGAGGCATTGGATTGCCATGTCCTTTTTCCTCTTGCTGTTCGAATTCTGAGCATACCTAAATGCTCAGGAGCCTTTGTAGAAGTATAACTGAGTCGGTTTAGGTTTTCAGGAAGGGAAACCTTATTCAATAATTACGGCTTGTAGAGAAAGAGAATTCAGTGTTTTGGTTTCACTGCTGCTGATTTTTTTTTTTTTTTTTTAACCAACAGTGTTGGGGAAAGTTCAGGGGATGGCTCTGAGTGGACCCTTAGTCTTCCCCATTTTCAGTCAGATTGTGCTGCCTGAGCCACATCCTCCGCAGTCGGTTTGGTCCTCTGCAGAGGAAGCAAGCAGATACCCTAGGCATCCATCACTACCCTCAGCTCTACACTGTTACTGGTGCTGTGGCCCCCAATCCCTTTCCTCTTTTCCTTTGATCTTACCTCCCCTTTGTGCCACATAAATGTGGGGTAGAGTTGCATCATATGCACGTTTAACAAATTCAAACGAACATACTCAGTAAAAATCTGTGCTGGTTTCTTAAAAATGCTACAGGCCGGGCGCCGTGGCTCATGCCTGTAATCCTAACACTTTGGGAGGCTGAGGTGGGAGAGATCACTGGAAGCCAGGAATTCGAGATAAACCTGAGCAACATAGTGAGACCCCCATCTCTACAAAACAGAAAAATTAGCCAGGCGTGGTGACACATGCCTATAGTCCTAGCTGTTTGGGAGGCTGAGGTGGGAGGATTGCTTGAGCCCAAGAGTTTGAGGTTGCCATGAGCTACAGTGATGCCATTGCACTCTAGCCTGGGCGATAGAGTCAGACCCTGTTTTAAAACAAAAAAAAGGCTAGGATTATATTTTGCAGATGTATGTTATATTTTGCACATTGGCATTTTATCCGTTTGTTATACATAACTATGACCAGGGAGGTCCACACCAAAGCTGTGCTTTACAGGAGTTTTAAGGGATACTCAGGGATGATTTTGACTAGATGCAGTTTTCACCTTGGGCTTTAACTTAGAGGTAACCCCTGAGTAAGATGTCACTCCACCGTAATGGGATTTCTTAAAATTCCAAACCTGCCTATTGGTATGAGTGAGTACAGGGTGTTCATTCTGCATGGTGAGGATGCGGAACATGTATACCAGACTTTGGGCCCTGCTTCTGGTGTGGGTAGCAGGTGGAAACCAGGAGGGATTGGGATGGGTCATCACCTCACAATTTTGAGATGGGGTTTTATTTTGCAGATTCATGCATTGATCACAGGCCCATTTGACACTCCTTATGAAGGGGGTTTCTTCCTGTTCGTGTTTCGGTGTCCGCCCGACTATCCCATCCACCCACCTCGGGTCAAACTGATGACAACGGGCAATAACACAGTGAGGTTTAACCCCAACTTCTACCGCAATGGGAAAGTCTGCTTGAGTATTCTAGGGTAAGAGGAGACTTCTAAGTAGCCAAGTTGCTTGTTAGCAAATAATTACTCTAGGCCAGCCTTAACAACCAGGGTTCCTCTTCTGAACCACAGAACACAGAAAATGATTGAGTGACTCCTCTCAATACTCCCCAGGTGGTACATGACTGGTATCATTCTAAATGCAAAGGAGAGAAGTTAATTTATTGACATACAGTAGATGCCTTGTGAATGGTTCTCAAAGTGTGGTTCCTGAGGAGCAGCATCTGGTAACTTGTAGCTATACAGATTCTGTGGCCCCACCTTAGACGTACTGTATCAGAAACTCGGTTTGGGGCGAGTAATCTGGTTTTTTTACAAGCCCTCGAGGTGATTGTGGTGCACACTGCAGTTTGAGAACCACTCCCTTAGGGCATTGGGGCCTATTCTCTCCTGAGCAGGTTGAGAAAGGCTGCAGATCTGTGCCATTCAAGATTGTGGTGTCTTACTTCCGAGTTTCTCAAGGAGTCGCTTTGGAGGCGGTGGTGGTGATGATGATTATGGTATTTTAACACTTGAATGACAAATGTCTGAGATTGGAAATCATCAGATATGAAACATAGAAGTTTTAAGTACGTCTTTCTGGGTGCTCCTGAGATTTTGCTTCACGGAGTTCCCATTCATTCTGTTTTAGTTGCCTTTGGGGATTAAAAATTCATCATGGAAATGTCTTCTAGCATATTTTGGATTGGTCTTTTTATTGTGGTGTGAATTTTCCCTGGGGTAGAGAGCAAGTGCAGTTGAAATTGAGAAAGTTGCCCAAACTGGTGATCATGTTTTCTTCCTGTTCAGCACGTTTCCAGGTTTGTGTGAGGGAAAGGCAGCTGAAACATACTAGGGACATGATTCATTTTTCTAGAACTCTCTCAGATCCAGGGATATGTTCTGCTGTGATTTTGGCAGTGACGAAGTCCTTTAAAGGAGATTGTCCTTAAAGAAGTCTTTCATCTCATTAAGATACTTAATTGTCTGTGCTGGTAGGATAAAACCCATGGTGGTAAGGACATTTAGTCATTGCTTCTGTATGAAATTTCTTCATGAAAGTGTGTTTGTAGTAGGTTTCCCTCATCAGGCCAATATAAAACTCTTTTGAGCAGATGTGCTCAGAGTAGAAACAGGAGAAGTCAGATGGTGGGGTAAAAGTAGCAGAAGTGTGTTGGGTGGAAAAGGAGAAGCTATCCTGAAATTGAAAATTTGCCACGAAGAATGACAGAGTAGAAAATGACCACTTGTTCTTAGTTGACTATATTAGCTTTATCAGCCTCATTTCTTCCCTCTCTACCTAGAAAACACTATTGGGCTGACTCACTGACAAAAGAAAACAGTGGGAGTTGACCCTGTTGTAAAGCCTTAGAGAACAGGTGGTGTAGAGCTCCTGGGGGAGCAGAGCTGAAAGAGCAGGTGAGAGGCACGGAAAAGCAGCCCTGATGAAGTTACTCTTACACATCACTGACTTGGGCTTTCCTCGAGTACAGCAGGGGAAGGAAAGTGGCCGATTAACTTGAATAAGCCAGTTCTGGCTCAGGGTGTGTTCAGCTTCCAGCTCTGGTGCCATCTCTCCAGTTAACTGAGCTAAAAATAAATGTCATTAACGTCTAAGCTGCCCCCTCCCTGTAATAATTGATCAGGTTTACAAAAGAGAGGAGCCATTTTGGTATTTCTTACCGTCTTTGAGATGTTTCCCATATATTATTTTCAGACCCTTCACAGTCTGGAAGTACTCCTTATCATCTTCCTGTCCTTTGGCAGAGTCGTGTCATCTTCATAGAATTTGACACTCCTTGGGGGCTCCATACAGAACTGGATCCCTGATCACCAACCCCACCATACAGCCTCTAACCAGATGGCGTCAGTCACCTGTGTGCCTCTGTGCTCAACTTCCCTCCCCCCTCACTAACTCTGTCACCACCCATAAATAAGCTCTTTGAGGTCCATAGAGGTTAACATTTAGACAACCTTTGGAGCTCTTTTCTTACCTTATGTCTTTGTTTGGATTATGATAACCTTTCCTGGCTACTGTTTCTTGTCTAGCTCGAAGACAATCCCTTCAAAGTTATATTACTTGCTTTACCCTCTTTTTGTTTGTTGCACTTGGTATGAGGGTTAGCCATTTGACTAATTTCTGATAAGGGTAAGACAGAGGCTGGGAAATTGCAGAGTATTAATAGTGAAAGAGAAACTTATGGTGAGTCACTTATAGTGGTGGTACCCAGCCCCGGGTTACTTGTTCTTTGGTCTTTCTCTGCCTCACCCTCTTCCCTTCCCTCTGATGTGTTTGCAGTACGTGGACTGGCCCCGCCTGGAGCCCAGCCCAGAGCATCTCCTCAGTGCTCATCTCCATCCAGTCCCTGATGACTGAGAACCCCTATCACAATGAGCCTGGCTTTGAACAGGTAAGGCCAGGTGGGCCCAGCTCTGGGGTGTGGAATAGTGAGTGTTTTGAGAGATCTGCTTCTGCTTGAAAGTCTTGTATTTTCCTTTTTTTTTTGACATGGCACAGCCCCATGTATTACCCTTGTTACTATAGAAGAAAAGAGGTCTGACATGAGGATTTCTTAATAATGAGTTTTTATTTTTAATTTGTAAGAGTTACAGTAGCACTGTTCACTGTTTGACTTGGATTAATCTACAGTTGGAAATCAGTGGGGTCATTTAGAAATTAATTCTGAGCCTGCTTAGGGGCTGTTGCAGCCAGGGGGCTCTTCTGCATGCCTCCGTGCTCCAGCATCCCCATCAGATGTTCCCTAGTGACTGCTGCCCAGCCAGCCTTCTGGAGTTGAAGGACCATTACCTGCAGAGCCAAAGGAGTTAGTCAGTAGGAATCTAGGGCAGGAATATTCAGTCAACACTGCTAAAGAGAAGGTAGAGAAAACGCACGCTTTTCTATGAGTATGTTATAGGCTGGACACTGTCATGTTTTGATGTATGATTTCTTGTTTAATCCTTATGCTGGCTCTGTGAGGTAAATGAATATTGTTATTCCCATTTTCAAGTTAGATAATGATGACTCAGGTCAATTAACTTCCACAAAGACACACAGTAGGACCCAAAATTTGCACTGGAGCCTCAGTTCTACCACTGTTCCAGTGTACCTTTTTTAATTACTCATGAGCACAGGCAAAAGTTCTAGTGATATTCCCAAAAGAAAATTACTCTGTTTAGTTGAATTAGAACAGCTTAATTGATTTTTAAACTACTTCAGATAACACTAAGATTGATTATTTTTCTGTGGACCTGAACAAAGGTTAATAAATACTGTTTAAATCCTTTCTAAACAAATAGTATATCTGATTTTAGGAGAAAGTAGGAATGAAAATGGACCTCATTGGCTAAATGAAGAGCTGATTTTTCAGGTCTTTTCTTCTTTGGAAATTTAAAGAGATGTGACTTTTCTTAATACTCCCACAAACATTCTTGGTTTACAGTACCCACAGTGTGTCCCTAGCTAGTGTTTTCACAGTTTTCTAGGCAAAGAGAAATACAAAAATGTTCCACTTTTTTTTTTTTTTTTTTTTTTTGAGACAGAGTCTCACTCTTTTGCCTGGGCTAGAGTGAGTGCCGTGGCGTCAGCCTAGCTCACAGCAACCTCAAACTCCTGGGCTCAAGCGATCCTCCTGCCTCAGCCTCCCTAGTAGCTGGGACTACAGGCATGCACCACCATGCCTTGCTAATTTTTTCTATGTATTTTTAGTTGTCCGATTAATTTCTTTCTATTTTTATTAGAGACAGGATCTTGCTCTTACTCAGGCTGGTCTCGAACTCCTGAGCTCAAACAATCCGCCTGCCTCGGCCTCCCAGAGTGCTAGGATTACAGGCTGTTCCACTTGTTGAGCAGTTACGTCCAACAATTACTTCTTTCTTAAATGACCATAATTACTTTACAGGATGTATACACCTGCTGGACACTACAGCTTTTCAAATCTTAGAACTAGATTGGACCTCACTACCCCCATTTCCTGTTCTCTACTATTTTCTTTTTTCTTTCTCTGCCACTCATTCTTTGTATCCCCACTATTTTCATATGCTACTTGTTTTTCTCACAAGAATGGCTGAAAATACAGCTTCACAAAGATAGTATGTCATCAAAAAGAATGCAATTTAACATTAAAACTGAAATATCTGCCTCAGGCTAGTAGTTTGCATGGTGTTCAACAGGTGTTGGATATTGTGGTTTTCCTCAAAAGTTTAAAATATCCCACCGTGGGCCGGGCGCAGTGGCTCACGCCTGTAATCCTAGCACTCTGGGAGGCCGAGGCGGGTGGATCACTCAAGGTCAGGAGTTCTAGACCAGCCTGAGCAAGAGTGAGACCCCGTCTCTACCAAAAAATAGAAAGAAATGATCTGGACAACTAAAAAAATATATATAGAAAAAATTAGCCGGTCATGGTGGCGCATGCCTATAGTCCCAGCTACTTGGGAGGCTGAGGCAGGAGGCTCGCTGGAGCCCAGGAGTTTGAGGTTGCTGTGAGCTAGGCTAACGCCACGGCACTCTAGCCCAGGCAACAGAGTGAGACTGTGTCTCAAAAAAAAAAAAAAAAAAAATATCCCACTGTGCCCTGTGATTTTGCTGAGGTGCGGTTTGGGAACCATGACAATAGACAGAAGGTGTATATCCCTTCCCTGGTCATCAGCTGTTTTTATCAAGGGCCAGGGCTCTAACTGACTGGAGTTGGTGGTAAGAGAAGAGCAAAGGAAGAGTTCAAGGAGAATATTAAGTTCTGCTTCTGATGGGTTTATAACAGTTGGCTCAATGATGGTGGAACCCTACAGACAAGTAAAGGAGTTGACCAGGAGGCATCCTTTACTTGTTGACGCCTAAAGGTTTTCCACACTGAGACTCCTAACATCATTTATACCTTTTTGTCTCACCATCATTCTTATATTTGGTTATTTCTTACTTAATCTTTACCTGACAGGCCTTTCATTTTGGGTTCAGGGAAATTTGATGGATCTAGTTTGCTGGTTATAAGTCTAATGACCTATTACAGAGGATGGGTGTTGGTATGTGTGGGAGGGTTGGCAGGGGGTGAATGGTCTCAAAAATAAAGATGTGGGCCGGGCGTGGTGGCTCACGCCTGTAATCCTAGCACTCTGGGAGGCTGAGGCGGGCGAATTGTTTGAGCTCAAGAATTCGAGACCAGCCTGAGCAAGAGTGAGACCCTGTCTCTACTAAAAAAATAGAAAGAAATTATCTGGACAACTAAAAATACATAGAAAAAATTAGCCGGGTATGGTGGCGCAAGCCTGTAGTCCCAGCTACTCTGGAGGCTGAGGCCATAGGATCGCTTGAGCCCAGCAGTTTGAGGTTGCTGTCAGCTAGGCTAACGCCATGGCACTCACTCTAGCCAGGCCAAGAGAGTGAGACTCTGTCTCAAAAAAAAAAATAAAAAAGATGTGGGTCAGGCACAGTGGTGCCCAGCTATTCAGGAGGCTGAGGTGAAGGATCATTTGAGACTAGGAGTTTGAGGCCAGCCTGAGCAACATAGCAAGACCTCATCTCTAAAAATAAATAAAGATGGTGTAGTTCTTCATGAATCTACCATATAGTGCAGAAGGTATCCTCTTAGTTCATGTGCTTGGGTCACATACCCCATACTAACCCTGAAGTCTCTTCTCATTGGCTTTCTCTTTGTGTAAATTTTCTACTCGTTTGATCTGACATCTATCACATTACAGGAGAGACATCCAGGAGACAGCAAAAACTACAATGAATGTATCCGGCACGAGACCATCAGAGTCGCAGTCTGTGACATGATGGAAGGAAAGTGTCCCTGTCCTGAACCCCTACGGTATGTGTCAAGGGGCTTGATTGGTACTTGTTCCTTTTGGAGATTTAGTTGGTTTGCACCTTTGAGGGCCTTTTGGGCAAAGTCCCATGTTGGGCACCAGAGGGAGAGAGAGAAGGAAAGGTGTGGCTCATGCTTTGAAAGAGCAAGTGGCTAAGGAAGTCCAAGAGGAAGTTGAGAGAGCTTCCTTGTTCTTGCAGAGAACAGAACCTATTGGGACAAGTAGTCTGTGCCCTTAGGGAACTCCCAGTTTTATGAAGTATTGGACACACTAACTGTTCCACAGCCAAATATGGTGTAGAGCACTTTATAATAAGCCCATTTCTTAGTGTTCAAGTTTACTTCTAAGTGCTAAAACTGGATGAACAAAGCCAGCGTTAATTAAACAAACTTCTAGAATTTTGAGTAAGGTTTGGAATTAAGGATGGCCTGTGAAAAACAATTGAGGTTGAGGCTGGATGCGGTGGCTGACGCCTGTAATCCTAGCACTTTGGGAGGCTGAGATGGGAGGATCACTTGAGACCAAGAGTTCGAGACCAGCAACAGAGTGAGACCCCATCACTACAAAAATTAGAAAAATTAGCTGGGCGTGGTGGCGTGCACCTATGGGCAGTCCCAAGTGCAGCTACTTGGGACTCAGATCGCTTGAGCCCAGGAGTTGGAGGTTGCAGTGAGCTATAATGACACCACTGCACTCTAGCGGGAACAACAACAGAGCAAGACCCTATCTCAAAAAAAAAAAAATGCAATTGAAGTTGAGCAAGGCAAGAGTTGAAATTGGGATCCAAATGCTCAGTATTATAGTCAGCCTCGTTTTATAATTCCCAAGATGTAAGAGAAGTCAACCATGGGCAGTCAGCTGAGTCAGCTGTTCCTTTTTCCATTTTCCATTTAAAGATTTTTGTGGGCTTAGGAACTCTAGCTGTTTAATTTTGCTTTAAGATTAGGTAGTGAAGGGGTGACCTGTTCCACCAGGTTTCTAACTTACATTTCTGCTTGTTTTCCAGAGGGGTGATGGAGAAGTCCTTCCTGGAGTATTATGACTTCTATGAGGTGGCCTGTAAAGATCGCCTGCACCTTCAAGGCCAGACTATGCAGGTAATACAGCCCTTGCTATTGATTCCAGAAGCCCTACAGTAGACCCTGTAAAATACCCCAAGGATGACATCCACATCTTTCATAGACTATCATAGCTAAAAGGAGCTTGAGTCATATGAGGAACTGAGGCCCAGAGAGGAGACTGACTTGCCTAAAGTCATGTGGAGTTGGTTCTAAGTTCCCGGCATAAAGTAGGTACTCAGGAGGTACTCAATTCTGTCTGAATCGTCCTGCTTTCCAGGCTGGAACTCCTTTCCGTCTTGGTCAGTAGTCTTTCAAGCCAGGAACATTCAGCCCTTCCAGAATCTTAGGGATTGTCAGAGTCATCTATTGGAATTCTATCCCTAGCCCTAAGGGTGCTCACAGAACACTGTGGCTTAGAGTAAAGAAACAATGGATGTACAGTGTCACTGTATTGAAAGATTCCTATTCCAAAGATGATAACCAGTTGTTCATTCTTTGTCTCCACGGGGAAAACGAGCTTTCACTTCCAACAAGAAGGCAGAATTTACATCATTTTAAGGAAGAGGTTCTCATTGACCAAATTGTAGATTTAAATGTAAGCAACCTGGCCGGGCGCGATGGCTCACGCCTGTAATCCTAGCTCTCTGGGAGGCCGAGGCGGGCGGATTGTTTGAGCTCAGGAGTTCGAAAACAGCCTGAGCAAGAGCGAGACCCCATCTCTACCAAAAATAGAAAGAAATTAATTGGACAACTAAAAATACATAGAAAAAAAAATTAGCCAGGCATGGTGGCGCATGCCTATAGTCCCAGCTACTCGGGAGTTTGAGGTTCCAGTGAGCTATGATCACGCCACTGCACACTACCTGGGGTGACAGAGCAAGACTCTGTCTCAAAAAAAAAAAAAAAAAAAAAAACCCTAAGAAAAAAAAAATGTAAGCAACCTGGTTGGTAAGAGGGTAAGAATTCTCCTGTCCTGGAGGATCAGTTCTTGTGTCTTTGGGTCACTTACTGGTGGTCTTGCTAATAAATGGGGTGACTTGCATAATTGAGGCTTTCTCTAGCTCTTGGGCTCCTTCTTCCCTCCCACCCACCAACAGCAGAAGTAGATGACTTATTTCCTCCAATGCTGCTTATAAATGGTAGCCTCCCTATCTTTCTTTTATTTAAGCTTAAAGGGCAAGGCAGGCTTAGGGTTAAGTTGTTTCCTGAACCTTTTTTCAAAGTATATAGACAGTATATGCCCTAGTTTGTTCCGCATCAGGAATTCTCATTGCTGGTGTCCAGCAACATATTACCAATATTCCGTCCATAAAGGAAAAATAACTTGTGATGAGGGATGGGAAGGAGGGGCAGCGTGAGGGGGGTGGTAGGGGGAGGAGGAGGAGGAGAAATGGAACCAAGGATGAGAGAAGGAAGATTTGGAAAATTGACAGCTCCAGAATAAGCTGAGCTTTCAGGGAATATAACCTCACAAGTGAGAAGTGTGGGCTCTAATCTCAGTGATTGTGGCAAGCACCCCCTGGCACCCTGCTCATGAGGGTAATGTGTGGACAGAGTGTGGCTGGGGTTTTTGAAAGACAAGCAAACACAAGGTGAGAGAAAATTGTATACCTGTTTGGGACTGCCAAGGAAAGCAGTCTCCACTTGTTTGAACCCTAGCCACACTGCTTTACTGCTGAAGTCCCTATATAGCATTTCAAATTCTACTTTGTTTTATACCTTCCACCCCAACCATAGTTGTTTCTGAGACTTTGAGGACAGTTAAACCTTTCTATGAAATGCTTAGAGATCTTTGATCTAGAACGACAAGGACTAAGATCAAGGCTAGGTGACCCTGGAGCAAAGCCCAGAAACCTGGACAGGAGTGTAATGACCAGTCCCTGGGGAAGAGTACAGGTGCTTATCTGCCTCTGATCCGAGAAAAGCAAATTACAGTTGTTGAATATAGGGAATGGAGGAAGATTTTCCCCTTCTGTAGTTTTTTTTTTTTTTTTTTTGAGACAGAGTCTCACTGTGTTGCCTAGGCTAGAGCGCCATGGCGTCATCCTAGCTCACAGCAACCTCAAACTCCTGGGCTCAAGCGATC